GAGGTGAGATATTCTCGAGTTTGGCCATCTATGTGGCAGACGTGCTTTGGAAGGATTTTTGTGTTTGAGGCTTTAGACAGGTTAGAGTGACATGAGATGGTCGTCCAAGCCCTGGTTTGGCCTTGAAGTTGGTGGGCCGAAGTCGTGCGACTTTTGCGTCAATAAAAATGGATATGCCTAATAGCTTGCCTTATTTTTATTTACCCAAACACATTCTCTTCGTTAAAGAACAAATTGACCACCACCACCTACGACTACATCCATTAACCTTGCATCACTACCGCCATTACCACTATCATCGTTATCATCACTGCTGCACCACAATTGTCACCACCATCACCAACACCACGACAAACGCCACCAGCACCACCACTATCACCACCATCGTTGCCATCACGGCCGTTATAATTTAATGCCACCAGCACAACCACCACCATCACCTCTAGCATTGACTCTAGGACCATTATTACCTCTACAACCTAACCACCACACCCTATTATTGGCACCAACACCATATTGTGCCAATTGTCATACCCATCACCGTCACTGCCTTCACCACCGTCGTCGTTGTCACCACCCTATTATTATGTCAACTTTTGTCATTTTATACAATTCATTATATTACTTTTAGATTAAAATTTACCAACCACTTTTACACTGGTTTTCATACTCACAACACTTATAAAAATATAGTTTATCAAATGCTCAACTGCTTTATTTTACAGTTGAATATTTTTAAAGCACATCAAAATATTTTTTTTGTTTTTTTTAAGGCATAGCAATTCCAATTTTGATCCTAAGAGCAGTTCTAGTGTAGTAAGGCCCCTGGGCAATAGGCAACTCAATTTCCTTAAATGAACAGTAACTGCCTTTAGTGAACAGTAACTACTTTTAGTGAACAGTAACTGCCTTTGGTGAACAGTAATTGCCCAAATGCATTTCTACTCCTAAACTGAATAGCCCAGACTATTGGTATTAAAATATTATTTTTTTTAATAAAATAATAAAAATAATTTTATTTTTAATTTCAACTATGATTTTTAACCAAAGGTGGAAGAGCATGGTAGGCATATTAGAAAAAAAATTACAATTTTTTTTTAAAATATGTATTTTTAATTATTTTTTAATAATTTAAATTGAGGCTGATGTCAGCTTTGCATCAAATCACTCAGGCGCTAGGCCCGCGGATTTTCGCCTGACTTCTTTCTCAGGCTCGCCTTCAATCCAATTGTTGGCAGTGGATTGGGTTGCCCATCAACGGGGGCAATGATTAACGCTGGAGCTGCGCTAAGAGCAATGAGTGGAGAGAAACACTTTGTTCTTATATTTTTTAATCTTCTTCTCTATAATGAAAAACTATATGGCTACCTCATGGACGTAGTTCAAATTGAATGTACCACGTTAGGTTCAAGTTTAATTTACAAAGAACAAAATTCCCTTGCAAATATAACTAATAAGAAGTCGTATATACCAGACTTTCGATAAATAGAAAAGAAGAGAATAAAAGCTATGATATGATGTTTAGAATAATCTAAATTGGTGTATTCTTCTCCATAACGAGGTATTCAACTAAACTAAAACTAGTAAGCAAACTCTTCCAATAACCGGACTTTTAAAGGGCTCACACTATAATTTGCTTTTGTTTCAATGGATTTCATAACAAAGTAAAGAAGGGAAAAAAAAGTACTTGGCACTAGCTTGCTCTTGCAATTAGACCATGCATCAACTAATTATTATCAAACTGTAAGTTGACAATATGTTGGATAAGCACGTACGCATGCTAGCTAGCTAGTGACCACGGCCTCTAGGACTAGGACCAGAAGCCAATCTTTGGATCCAACAAGCCATGGTACTCTTCGCATTTCGGTAGACGGAGGAGTAGTTTGTTCGAAGGTGATTAGAGTAGGTAAAGTCCTCAGCTGGTAAACAAAAAACAAACCTTCAGAGATCATGTAAGGAGACAAAACGTTCTGACGGTTATAAACAAAAAATCACGATTTAACGGTTATTTTAACTCCGATTTTGATGATTTTTTACAGCTACACTCCTTGATCCTATATGAATACAATGAATGAGCCCGATCTTCAATTTAAAATATTTACACTTGTGGATACCACAAATTCTTATGTTATACTTAATGAAAGTATAAATAAACTCTAAATGTGCGTTTGTTATACATAACAAAAAAACCTCGAATCAAAACCCTCTATTAAAATTAGAAATCAGTATAAGACAAAATTTAAATGCACAAATTGCTAGCCAGTGCTATTTGAATGTACCATGCATGTCACTCACAATTCTAAACTTAAGAAAACACTATTTAACAACTTAAAAGGAGGCGCGCGGGATAAAAGAGCGGTATCAACATAGACGCAGGGAGTTAGAAAGAAAAAAATTAAGAATTAGGCGCACGAAGCGGTCATCTCTCTCCGTCCCGTTCCTTCTCCCTATCCTTCTCCCTCTCCACCTCCATCTCCGTCGCTGCAAATAGACAGATCGACAGCCTCCTTCCGGTGGAAATCGAAACTATCGTCAAAGTCAAATCCTAAAAAAGGTTTTTCCCTCCTAATTGTCATCTTCAATTTACGTTTCTGATGGATAAACCCATCAGTTTTCTGTGTAATTCTCTTAGGGTTTTCATTTTTGTTTTTCGATTCTTTTGCGAGTATATTGTGGGTTCTTCCCCTTCTAATTCTCATCTGCAATTGTTTTACCTTCTGCGGGGTGGGGGATGTGGCTGGGTACTATATATGGATTGGTGGAATCAGGGTTTAATTCCTTTCAATTTTTTTACTGGAATATATATATATATATATATATATATATCTTTCTAAATTTGTTCAATTTTCCTATACAGAGGGCGGTTACAAGGCTGGGCTTATATATTGAAGAATCTGATTATATTCTAGGCTAGCTGCTTTCTTTGGTAAGGTATGTTTTTACACCGTCACCCTCAGCCTATCTTATTCATTGTTTAATTGCTGGTCCTAATGAATGTTGCATGTAAAATTAAATTTGTAAACATGTAAACAGGGAGTACATACTTTATATGCCATGGACAGGGAATGGATACGAAATCAGAATCGAGTGAGTAGGGAATATTTAAATGGGATTTCAGAATTTTTGAAAACTGCAAGCAAACATGTCAACGCTGAGGGTTATACTAAGTGCCCATGCCAGAATTGTAACAACTGTAGATTGAAGTCATTGAGAGAAATTCAGCAAGATTTGGGTAGATATGGAATGTCATTCAATTATACTACATGGACTCATCATGGGGAACGATTGAGAACTGTTTCAAGTTGTTCAAACCCACAACCAGTGTCGCGACCTATTACTGAAATAGGAAGTGATAATGATCATGTAATGAATGTAATCAATGATCTTCATCCACACACGCATGTTAGTCAAAACAATGCGTTGGAGGAGGATGATAACACAATCAACAATGATAATGTGGAAGTGGATGAGTCCAGCATGCCTAGAGAAGAACATGAAAAGTTTGAGAGATTATTAAAACAAGCTCAACGAGAATTGTACCCTGGGTGTGAAGGTTTCTCTGTACTAACGGCAATTGTGGAGTTCATGCATGGCAAGGTCATGTTTGGAATGTCCAACACATGCTATGATTATTTCATGGCACTTTTCAAACGGATGCTTCCGAAAGATAATGTTTTCCCCACTCTAATATTTATTTGACTTATTAAGCAGGGAGCATGAGGAAATAATAAAGCGTGAAAGTAGTTCAAACGTGGAGCAAAGACACAAAGATAAGTTTCCTTCTTGGTTTCGTGAACATGTAAGTCGAACTTTGTAGTTATTGTAACGTGTTGCATTATTTTAAAATAATTTGTGCATAACATTGTCCATCATATTACTAGATGAGGAGCTTGGGAAAGGAAAAGTCACCTTTATATAATGATGAGTTGTTTAAGTTAGCGAGAGGTGTTGTGCGAGCTGAAACATGTCAAGGTTGTGTTGTGAATGGGGTTAAGTTTGTAGTTGCCGAACGAGATGATAGATTAATCACTCAGAATAGTGGGGTGTATGTGCCTGGAGATGTCGATACTGGAGAACTAGAATTTTATGGAAAGTTGACTAGTGTTATTGAATTGTTATATAGACAGGGATATAAAGTGGTGTTATTTAAGTGCCACTGGTTCAATACAGACCCTTCTAGACGAGGGAGTATAAAGCGCGACTACCACTTAATATCAGTCAACACAAACACTCGTTGGTATGATAATGATCCTTATATTCTTGCCACTCAAGCGAAGCAAGTGTTTTATGTGGCTGATCCTAAGGCAGGTACTGGTTGGAAAGTAATTCAAAGAATTCAACATAGAAATGTATGGGATATTCCGGAAAAGGGGAACTCTGAGGGTGATAGTAGTGATGATGATGTGACATACCAAGAGAACTCTTCATCAGACATTCCTGATATGGCACAAGTACAACACATTGATGAAACTCTGACTCCGTACTGCTTGGAAAACATTCATCCAGTTGCAGTTGAGATTGACTCCATCATTATAGATCTTGGGGCTCTTCCTAGAATTGATGAAAATGAATTCATTTACAATTATAATGAAGAAAGTAGTATAGATACTGATGACTACATAAGCAATGAGGAAAATAGTAGTCATGGTGATGATAGTTCAAGCAGTACTACTGATGACGATAGTGATCTAGATTATTAGTAAGTCAATATTTAGTTTGCTCATTGTGTTTTCGTCTAAATAATTTCGCCATTTTGTATATGCATTTTCCTTACCACATTAATTTGCTAACTTGTTTGTTTGTTTTTGTATTCGTTTTCCATGTTTTTATTGGAAAATGAAATAATTGTATTTGCTTTGATTGAATCGCATATATGGATGAAAAACATGTTCTTAATTGAACTATTTCATTTGGGTTCGAGTTTTATGATCTAGGTTTCCAATTTTTGGTTGATTTGGCCATCCATTTGTATAATATTGGTGAAAGCAATGTCCTTTGACTTTAATTCCAAATTTCCACTGTAATTTTTCGATATTGTGGTCTAGGTTTGACATATTTGTTTTTCCTTTCTATAACACTTGCAGGTTGTCTATGGCTCAGTGGAATTCTGGGCTAGATAGCTTACAACTGGTATCAGCACGGCATGGAGACCAATGTGAGGATCATTCACACCAGGTAATTTTGATATTTGAGGATTAACTTGATTAGTAGATGTCTATATCTTCTTGTTTGCACTGATAAAGATTATAAACAATGATGAATTAGGATACTTTAGTATAGTTTATTTATGTTTCCAGGTGCATATGCTTATGTTCTAGAGTTATAACCTACTTAGATAGGTGATTGGTATTGTTATGTTTATATAAATTATAGACCTTTCAAGGATTTATATGATCTACTTATCATGCTGCCTTGTTTACAGAGTGTGATAATCATGTTGCCTTGCTGTTTATAATGTTTATCTTGTTGTTTACAGTGATGAATGACATATAAGTAGTTGATGTTAACTTGATTATTACCTGGTATCTATTAAACATGTAATTTTGCTAGGTTGTGATGCTGCATGGCGTTGGTAAGTTAACTTGATTAGTAGATATCTTTATCTTGTTGTTTACACATTTATGGTTTCATAAGTTATTTGTTTAGAAAGACCACTCTAGTGTGGCCTTGCGTTCCTTAATGTCAATGATATTTAGCACCCTTAACATTTGCTAATCAAGTTTTTTAATTTGTTTTTCTTCTACAGTTGTTTGATACTGGAGTGTTTCATGATGATCCTTATCGTTTCCCGATTTCATGATGCTGCATATCAACTTGATGAGGACTATAGTGAGAATGGTGATACTTAAGGATATTTTATCTATATTATAGTAATCTCGAAATGAAAACATAGATATTTTTGTATTTTGTAACTACACCGAATTGTGAACCTTACATTAGTTTATATTACATGAATTTTGTGTTGTTCCTACATTAATTCTTCATTCACGCCCCTTCTCGATCTCTTAAGCTTGCTTGTTTGTGATGGTTAAAAATATTATTAAAAATTAGAAAATATTGGACTTGGCATGTTTTGTCGGCACAAAATTAATTAGCCGACAAATGTTTTTGTTCACAAAAGATTCAACCAACTAATTATTTTGTCTACACAAGTCATTTGAGCCGACAAACCAATTTGTTGTCATAGGACTACGTAGCCGAAAAACCATTTTGTCACGACAAGATTACTTAGCCGCCAAAATGTTTTGTCGCAACAAGATTACTCAGCCGACAAAATATTTTGTCGCGACAAGATCACTAAGCCGACAAATAACTTCATCGCGAAAAAACAACCTATGCTGACAAAATATTTTGTCGCAATGTTGTTTTGGTGACGGGCACAGTTTGACGGCTGAGATTTGTCACCTTAAAAATGAGCCGACGAAATATCAAGATTTGTCGAGAAAGATCTTGCGCGACATGCTTTTAGCGACAAAATTGCCGACAAAATTTTTCGTTGGGAAAGGCTCTTTGCCGACGAATTTTGACTTTTGCCGACAAACTATGTTTGTCGGCAAAGTGGAAATTTCTAGTAGTGATTCTTGTTGCCTCAACTCCGGAATGGCTCAAGAAGGCCACAGAGATGATCATCAAGACAACGAAAATAATGGCTCTGCTCTTCCGGAAATTCATCATCTTGCCGTTAATTTTTTTTCGTTTGTTTGTGAAAAAAAAATGAGGATGGAAGGAGGAAGCTATATCTTAGTTTCTGAGTTCTTGAATGGGAGGCCTTGATATAGTTGAGGATGCCACTGATACAAAGGAGAAAAGGGTACGTACCAATTACGTATGTATTTATAGTTAGAGAGAGAGAGAGAGAGAGAGAGAGAGAGAGAGAGATTTACTGGTAGAGTTGGTGGGCGTTTTCAGCTTAATGACTTTTTGACCAAGGTAGAGAGTGGAACACAACTTTTACTACGTGAGCTCAAAAAAGAAGAGAATATATTGATTGGTCTTACATAAATTGCGGGACACGGATTTTTCCTTGGTTTTAATTTGTCAACGCTTATAATATTTGAAGAGTAATTATTAATTTTATATATCTAAACAGAAATATATATTAGACGTATTAATAATTACAAAAGAAGAATAACAATATTAAAATTTGAATATCTACGTGAGGATTTTTTCAACAACTAGTGTCTAATTCTTGTTCAATTCAAAATGAGAATGATTATGTCAAATACTATGGCTAAACTTATGACCGGGCTGGACATTTAAAGTGGATGGTTTAATTCTAGTCAAATATGTAACAATGGATCAAAATGGCTTCTGCTTGAGTAATCAACATGTGTTCTTATTAGAAAACTTTGTTTTAGGAAGCTCGATTTATTTAATTCTTGTCTTTTCTACAAACGATATAGTGAGAAACGAAAATTTTGAACGAGAATCTCAAATGCATACATATAACAAGTTACTTGCGTTACAAACCCAGTGAAAACCGCTATTTACTTATTATAATTTCATAATAGACGTAAAATTGCCAAGCTGAATTAACACTTGAATAATAAAACAAGAAAAGATTAACAAAATGGCCGTTCTTTTTTTTTATTTTTACTGATGTGATAATTTGTTTTATAGAGGTAATGATGTGATACAAACTTTGGTTTTACCACTGATAATCACTCACAACAAAGCAAAACTACCAATCTACCACAATAAGGTCTAACATTCATGTTTTGATTCTCATCCATAGGAGTAGAATTTGAAAACTACACCACAAAGCTATTTCTGAGATTTCGGGGCCCTGTGGGAAATTTATATAAGGGCCCCTCCTTAAGATAATTAAAAAAAATAGAACAATATTGATGCTAAAACCAATCATTTAAATCAAAACAAACTTTAGCACTCACTGATTGCAAGTTTATAAATATCATTAATTATAAATAAAAAGAGCTACAAACATAACTTTCATTATGTAAGCAAAAGAAGTTAAATCTTAAATAACCAAACATGAAAAAAAAAACCTTCAAAACTCTAACTTTAAAGTTTCACTTGAATATAACACCTTATTATATAATAAAATTGAAAAAATTATCATTTTTAAGGTGTTATTATTAATATTGAAAATATCTCATTGTACTCCAAATTTTTATATTTAAATAGAAAAAAAAATTACTCTTATAAAGATTGCACACTGAGATTTTAAAGGGCTAACAAAAGCAATTTTTTAAATATAGAACATTATTACCTAAATTAGTTGGCAAAAATTTTTGGGGCCCTTCAAATTTGGGGCCTTGTGCGACTGCACATTTTACTCCTCCCCAAAGCCCCCTCTACTACACCAATCAAAAACGTAGAAAAGTATTAGTTGAGACTAAATTTCAATTGCGCGCACAAAATATTCTCATTGTCAAGACTCAAAATATTAGTTGAGGAAAATTTATGATTTATAAAGAAAGTTAGGGTTTTACTATAAAATCAATTGACAATGGAAAGTAGCCCGACCTCATTTTTTATTTTACCTTCACATCCTCACACGCCCACTCACGGGTAGGAAATTTTCAAGCCAAACATGTCGACAACGTGAATTAGGTGACGTGGAGCATGTGTAGCCATTGGGCTTCACACGTGGGCCTACCTGCTCTGATAGCATAAAGAAAAGGTTTCATCATAACCAATTGGCAATATAGGGAGTACTAACATATCAAGATTTCTCCTTTAACCTTTTTTACCTTCACATGTTGGATTTATCCAATATAAATCAACCTTTAAGTGGTCTACTACATGTAATAGGAATGTAATATTGGAGAAATAATGTTGATTGTGATTCGATCTCTTAACGATATTAGTCCTATATCATGTGTCTTATATTGGAAATATGATTGATGGAATCCTTAATTGACTATAATTATGATACTTAACTAAGAGGCTAAGAAAGTAAGTTTAGGTTTCCTTTATGGATGGAAACCCTAGCTTTTAGCCTATATATATAAACATTGGTCCCTATAAGCCCTAGACAACACAACATAATGCTTCCCATAGAGTAGTTGTATTCGGCTAGGAGTTTATAGAAGATCTTGGTGTTGTCTTTCGTTGTTCCTTTTGTATTCATGGCTTCCGTTGGAATCAAGTCAGTCACTCATTCATTTGTGTTTTAATTGTATAACCTTATAAGGCTAACATAACATCCTCACAGTACTAACATATTAACTGAGCTAGCTAGCTTTTAAGATTTACAATCCACTGCTAACCTACTTTGACACTCAGAACACGCTGTTGCCCGTTGTAGCGATAGTAGTTATAGTCGCGAGGATTTAGTAACAAAAGTTACAAAGGTCAATGACTAATAATTTGTGAATTCAGAGCACAATCGTTAAGAAATGAGGCAATTTAGTATTAAGTAATCGATAAAAACCGAAATTAATTAAACAAATCCAACTAAACTTACCAATACTTTACATGGGTACTTCCAAAACGCCAGCAAAGCGCAAGACAGACCTAATCGTCTCCATCTGTCTTTATCGCAGTTGGAGTTTTTAGTATCTTTTTAGGACTTGCGTGTTGACCAAGTAGTTTTAATTTGGAGTCATGGCTGACATACAAGGAGCTTGCTTTTGTTGGGTAGCCGGAGAATTAAGCTAATTGCTAAATGACAATGATCATTAGTTCCAATAGAATATGATCTGGACTTTGTTGGATATAGTTGTGAGTTCAAATGTCATAGCAACGTTGTTGCACAAAGTCTCAATTTACTATTCGTTTGATTATTATTTAGTTTTCATCTTTGTTATTGAGAATATGAAGAGGGAATATGACACATCGAAAGTTATAGAAAGGAACACCAGGGAAAAATTATCAAATTTTGATTAATAATATGATAAGATGTCTTGAATACAACCCTAGAGTTGTTTATATAGTCTTAAGAAAAACCCTAGATGCAAAAGGAAACAAAACTGGAAATTATAAAAATTCTCAAAACATCCTTAAAATTTAAAAGCAGTTTTAAGCTTTCAAATGTTGTTAAAAGCTAAAACCCATCTTATATGACGGCAAAGCCATGAGTTGAACTCATCTTATCCTTCTTCTTCTAGAAAAGGTATCATGGACCCTTATCGAACAACTCTTCCAGCCTCTCGTCAATATATGTGAAAAAGGAGGATTGGAGAAGGGCGATGAGACTAGATGCGAAAAAGATAGAAGAGTGAATGAAAAACAAAATCTTGAAAGAGAAAACAATTTTAAAAAATTTTAATTAAATTTTAATTTTGTGAGTCTTTTCTTACAGTTTTAGTATGAGCGCGAGGTGTTGCATGCACATAAGTCACTAGTACGTAATTCAAGAATCATTGCATTTGCGGAGTAAACGAGCATCGATATGTTCATTAATATAAATTATTCAACAAAAGAATGTTATTTTCCATTACACTTGCTCCATTGAATTATTTTCTGTTCTATATAGCAAAAATATCGCTACATATATATGTATCTTAACCACCTAAAAAGAAATAATCAATGAAAAAGAACAAAGAAATTAATAAACTTGTTGTCTGCTTTTCTGGGTTTGCAAGTTGCAACTCATCAATTATGAAGGCCGCCTTCGCTGCTTGAGAGAAATTTAGTGACCAGGCCCTTTGGGGCTAGGTCCCGAAGCTAACCGTTCAAGCCAAAATTCCATGGTGAACTTGGCCTTTTCATACACAGAAGGCGACGAATAAGTCTCCAGGTGGTTAGCACTGGCGAAGTCCTCCGACAACACTCTGCTCGCTTCAACCGGACCTTGGCTGACCAAAATGGCCACCGACAACACGAAGATGATCAATAGGAGGCTGCTCACTTTCTGGAAAGTCATTTTTCAAAAATGAGGAGTTGGGTCTGTGCTTTTGTTTCTGATCTTTTGAAAGAAATGAGGAGTTGGGTCTGTGCTTTTGTTTCTGATAGGAGCTTTTGCCTTTTGGGTGCTTGATGGAAGTGCATGAGAAAGCTTCAAAG